ATTAATTTCTCCCCTCCCTAATTGAGATGTAGAAATGATATCCAAGCCTTCCGATCGACAATTGTATTTTTAATAAATGACATCGGTTTCAGTTCTTAATCTGCGTTAGGAGCGGAGGAATGAATTTTCAAAATCGCGGAGAAACCCCGAACGGCTCTCCGACGTCGGGTGAGCACGGAGGGACTCCCCCGATTGGAAAATTCATTTCTCCCACCCTAATTGAGATGAAGGATTGAAGCCGATGCCGATCGATCGAGAATTAAATTCTCAATAAATGACAACGGTTTCATTCCTTAATCTCAAGTAGGAGCGGAGGAATGAATTTTCGAATGCGCGGAGAAATCCCGAATGGCTCTCCGGCGTCGAGTGAGTCCGGAGGGGTTCCCCTGATTGGAAGATTCATTTCCCCCCCCCCCCTAATTGCGGAGAGGGAACGGAAGCAACATCTATCGATCGAGAATAATATTCTCAATAAATGACAGTGGTTTCATTTCTTAATCTCTATTAGGAGAGGAGGAATGAATTTTCAAAGCGCGCAGTAACTCCGAACAAGTTCTTCTCATTCAAAAATTAATTTCTCCCCTCCCTAATTGAGATGAAGTAATGAAACCAAAGCTTACCGATTGAGAATTATATTTTTAATAAATGACATCGGTGTCATTTCTTAATCTCAGTTAGGAACGGAGGAATGAATGTTCAAAAGCGCGGAGAAACCCCGAACGGCTTTCCGACGTCGAGTGAGCCCGGAGGGGCTTTCCCGATTAGAAAATTCATTTCTCCCCCCCTAATGAAGATGAAGGAATGAAACCGATGCCAATCGATAGAGAATTAAATTCTCAATAAATGACGGCGGTTTCATTCCTTAATCTCAAGTAGGAGCGGAGGAATGAATTTTCAAAAGCGCGGAGAAACCCCGAACGGATCTCCGACTAGTCGAATGATCGTCGGTCTAACATACGAATGTTTGCGATACAGGCTCCATTTTTTATGGAATTTGTGATTTGGGCGTATGAAACTAATGACGGATGTTTAAGGTTCCCCAAGTTTGTGCGGGGGTTAAAAAAGCCAAAAAACTACCGCTGAAAACAGTTTTTTCGAAATAACTCGTGAATAACGCGCTGTGGGTCAAAAAACGTAATACACAAAGTTGTAGAGATCAGAATTCTACACAAAAAAT